ATAATAATCTGCATTTTCTGGGTTTTTTTGAATAGCTGAATCATAATTCTACAAGGCTTCTTGAAATCTATTTATTGACCTTAAGGCAATGGCTAAATAAAAATTCATTATTAATTAATACCTTTGCTATTATAATAATCTGCTTCTTCTGGGTTTTTTTGAATAGCTTAATCATAATTTTCCAAGGCTTCTTCAAATTTATTCATTTTGAATAAAGCAATAGCTAGAAAAAAAAATTTATAATTATATACACCTTTGCTATAATAATAATCTGCATTTTCTGGGTTTTTTTGAATAGCTGAATCATAATTCTACAAGGCTTCTTGAAATCTATTTATTGACCTTAATGCAATTGCTAAAAAGATATATTTATAATTATTTATACCTTTGCTACTATAATAATCTGCTTCTTATGGGTTTTTCTGAATAGCTGAATCATAATTTTCCAAGGCTTCTTCAAATCTATTCATATTCTTTAGAATATCAGCTATAATTAATTCACTATCATTATACCTTTGCCGTAATAATAATCTGCATTTTCTGGGTTTTTTTGAATAGCTTAATCAAAATACTCCAAGGCTGATTCGAATCTATTCATATTCTTTAACGCAATCGCTAAAAAAAATATTCATTATTAATTTATACCTTTGCCATTATAATAATCCGATTTTTCTGGGTTTTTTTGAATAGCTTAATCAAATTATTGTAAAGCTTCTTCAAATCTATCCATTTTGTATAAGGCAATCGCTAAAAAAAAAATTGATTATTAATTTATACCTTTGCCATTATAATAATCTGCATTTTCTGGGTTTTTCTGAATAGCTGAATCATGATTCTCCAAAGCTTCTTGAAATCTATTTATTGACCTTAAGGCAATCGCTAAAAAAATATTTATTATAAATTTATACCTTTGCCATTATAATAATCTGCTTCTTCTGGGTTTTTCATAATCGCAGAATCGTAATTAATCAATGCTTATTCGAATCTTTTCATATTCTCTAGATTACCAGCTATAATTAATTAACTATCACGATACCTTTGCAGTAATAATAATCTGCATTTTCTGGGTTTTTTTGAATAGCTTAATCAAAATACTTCAAGGCTGATTCGAATCTATTCATTGTTTATAATGCAATCGCTAAAAAATATTTATCTTGAATTCACACCTTTGACATTATAATAATCTGCTTGTTCAGGGTTTTTATGAATGGCTGAATCAAAATATTGTTAAGCTTCTTCAAATCTATTAATTTTGAATAGGGCAATTGCTTAAAAGAAAAGTACATTAGTTATTTATACCTTTGCCATAAAAATACTCTGCTTATTCTGGGTTTTTCTCAATAGCTTAATCATATTATACTAATGCTTCTTCAAATCTATTCATTGACATTAAGGCAATGGCTAAATAACAAAATTTATTATTAATATACCTTTGCCTTAATAATATTCTGCTTCTTCTGGATATTTTTCTATAGCTGAATCATAACATACTAATGCTTCTAGAAATCTATTCAATGACCTTAGGGCAATCGCTAAAAATAATATTTATCATGAATTTATACCTTTGCCATTATAATAATCTGCTTCTTCTGGGTTTTTTTGGATAGCTGAATCATAATTCTTCAAGGCTTCTTCGAATCTATTCATATTGCATAGAATATCAGCTATAATTAATTAACTATCATTATACCTTTGTCGTAATAATAATTTGCATTTTCTGGGTTTTTTTCAATAGCTAAATCATAATACTCCAATGCTTCTTCAAATCTATTTATTGACTTTAAGGCAATCGCTAAAAAAAAATATTCATTATTAATTTATACCTTTACCATTATAATAATCTGCTTTTTCTGGGTTTTTCTGAATAGCTGAATCATAATTCTCCAAGGCTTCTTAAAATCTATTCATTGACCTTAAAGCAATCGCTAAAAAATAATATTTATCATGAATTTATACCTTTTCCATTATAATAATCTGCTTTTTCTGGATTTTTGTGAATAGCTGAATCAAAATATTCTTAAGCTTCTTCAAATCTATCCATTTTGAATAAAGCAATCGCTAAAAAAATATTTATCATGAATTTATACCTTTTCCATTATAATAATCTGCTTTTTCTGGATTTTTGTGAATAGCTGAATCAAAATATTGTAAAGTTTCTTCAAATCTATTCATTTTTAATAGGGCAATTGCTAAAAAGAAATATACATCATTAATTTATACCTTTGCCATTATAATAATCTACTTTTTCTGGGTTTTTCTGAATAGCTGAATCATAATATAGTAAAGCTTCTTCAAGTCTATTGATAATTTATAGAAAATCAGCTATAATTAATTAACTAATATTATACCTTTGCCGTAATAATAATCTGCGTTTTCTGGGTTTTTTTAAATAGCTGAATCATAATTCTCCAAGGCTTCTTCAAATCTATTCATTGACATTAAAGCAATCGCTAAAAAATAATATTTATCATTAATTTATACCTTTGCCATTAAAATACTCTGCTTTTCCTGGGTTTTTCTGAATTGCTAAATCATAATACTCCAAAGCTTCTTCAAATCTATTCATATTTTTTAAAGCAATAGCTTAGACAACATTTTTTAATGTATACCTTTTTTATAATAATATTCTGAATTTTAAGCATCACTATCAATCTAGAAATCACAAAAACTAAGCATTTAAAGATTTATATTTTATTTTTCATCTTTATTGTCAAAATCAAGATTCCTCACTAATTCTTCATTCAATTTAATGTAATTCATTATTTTGTCTTAATAATTTCTAAATCTAATTATTAAATTAAATACTAGGACTAGTTCTATAAATTTAGAAATTTAAAATGCAAAAAAAAATTTCTAATCGAGCTCAAATCAATGAATATTATTAAATTTTATATCCTCTTCTTCTTAAGTAAAAAGTGTCGGGCTTTTTTGTTTTTTAATTACAATATCATTCAAGTTCTCAAATAAATTAAGAAAATAATAACTAAATTGCAGAGTATATTGATGAAAAAGAAAATTATTTTATATTTGTCATAAATCTATTATTATTTGATGAATATCAATTTTTTTTTACAAATTACATATTTATTAAACTGATTTTCTTTGAAAATAAAGTTAGATTAACAAAAACTTTTATAGAATACTAAAAAAATAATAGTTAAGAATATTGTGATGAATTTTATTTATTATGATAAATAAACTTATTTTTGATTTTGATTAATCAAAGAGATCAAGCGTTAGATAATAAAAAAGTTATAATTCCCTTCTTATCCAATATAAAAACTTGAAAAAATTACCACTCTGAAGACTCAATCCCGATCTCCTTCGCCATAAGAAGGTATTGACTATACACATACATTAGATGGCATGTATTATATAATTAAAAACAAGTATTAAAATTAAACCTATTAAACTAAATATATTTTTATAAAATATATTAGTTATTTATTCTAAAGATTATAAAAAATTCAGATTATTTTGTTTTGTTAGGATAATAAAATAAATTAAAAATATACTGCTTAATTACAATAATTAATTCTGTCTTAATGCTTTTTCAAAAAATAGGTATTCCTACTATTTTAGTTGGCCCTGTATTTCTAAACATCTACAAAGAATGTAAATTGAATTCTTTATATCAATCTATAGATAATTGTTCTTAAGGGTTTTCNATAATTAATTAACTAATATTATACCTTTGCCGTAATAATAATCTGCGTTTTCTGGGTTTTTTTAAATAGCTGAATCATAATTCTCCAAGGCTTCTTCAAATCTATTCATTGACATTAAAGCAATCGCTAAAAAATAATATTTATCATTAATTTATACCTTTGCCATTAAAATACTCTGCTTTTCCTGGGTTTTTCTGAATTGCTAAATCATAATACTCCAAAGCTTCTTCAAATCTATTCATATTTTTTAAAGCAATAGCTTAGACAACATTTTTTAATGTATACCTTTTTTATAATAATATTCTGAATTTTAAGCATCACTATCAATCTAGAAATCACAAAAACTAAGCATTTAAAGATTTATATTTTATTTTTCATCTTTATTGTCAAAATCAAGATTCCTCACTAATTCTTCATTCAATTTAATGTAATTCATTATTTTGTCTTAATAATTTCTAAATCTAATTATTAAATTAAATACTAGGACTAGTTCTATAAATTTAGAAATTTAAAATGCAAAAAAAAATTTCTAATCGAGCTCAAATCAATGAATATTATTAAATTTTATATCCTCTTCTTCTTAAGTAAAAAGTGTCGGGCTTTTTTGTTTTTTAATTACAATATCATTCAAGTTCTCAAATAAATTAAGAAAATAATAACTAAATTGCAGAGTATATTGATGAAAAAGAAAATTATTTTATATTTGTCATAAATCTATTATTATTTGATGAATATCAATTTTTTTTTACAAATTACATATTTATTAAACTGATTTTCTTTGAAAATAAAGTTAGATTAACAAAAACTTTTATAGAATACTAAAAAAATAATAGTTAAGAATATTGTGATGAATTTTATTTATTATGATAAATAAACTTATTTTTGATTTTGATTAATCAAAGAGATCAAGCGTTAGATAATAAAAAAGTTATAATTCCCTTCTTATCCAATATAAAAACTTGAAAAAATTACCACTCTGAAGACTCAATCCCGATCTCCTTCGCCATAAGAAGGTATTGACTATACACATACATTAGATGGCATGTATTATATAATTAAAAACAAGTATTAAAATTAAACCTATTAAACTAAATATATTTTTATAAAATATATTAGTTATTTATTCTAAAGATTATAAAAAATTCAGATTATTTTGTTTTGTTAGGATAATAAAATAAATTAAAAATATACTGCTTAATTACAATAATTAATTCTGTCTTAATGCTTTTTCAAAAAATAGGTATTCCTACTATTTTAGTTGGCCCTGTATTTCTAAACATCTACAAAGAATGTAAATTGAATTCTTTATATCAATCTATAGATAATTGTTCTTAAGGGTTTTCAATATTTCTCCAATGAATCATGTGAGAATCATATTAGAAATGTGGAAATATAAAATATTTATGAATAAAATGAGTTGCTCTACTAAATCACATAATTTCCATTCATAAAAATACCATCATCAAATCTCATAACTACGAAACATTGAAGTTTAAGTTTATATTTCAAAACATATCTTTTGGTTCCAAAATTTACTATTCAAAATATATTTATGAATGATTTCTTCTTAAACGAAAAATAGCTAAATTTTTGCAATTATAAATCCTCTTAATGTAAAATTTTATAGTAAAAAAGCATTCTATTTCAAATACTTCTTTGTAAGTTTTATTATTTTTAGAGAATTTGCTAAAGATAACTAAAAAGTATAGTCATTTATAGATTTATGATTAATTAAATCTTAACAAATTTATTTGAAGTTGCATAAATAAGAGATATATTTTCCAAATTAGATAAGGTTTGAGTGATTTTGAATTTATTAAATTGGGGGTATAAGGTATGTGATGGGCTTTTCAAGACCACTAGTAATGAGATAAAATTGATAACGGATATCATCTAAAAAGGAATGAGTATTTTACGTTGTCCTCGAGCTAAGAAATTATAATTCTAAATTTTTAATTTATGAGAATACATTCTTAAAAAAATGGTGATACATATATATATTCATTTTAAGTCAAAAAAAAGTCTCAACTAACTTAAAGAGACACTAAATTACAGAAGTTGAAAAAAATCTTAATAAAGTGTATTAAAATGAAACATAATAGGAAAGCATGTAAGGTGAAAACTAATTTCTCTATTTTTTATTCTATATTTTTCAGAATTTATTATAAAGAGAGGCACTTAATATCAAGAGGATGCTTATTATTGTTGAAATTAGTTAAGGATTAAGAATTTTCTAATTCTACTTTATTCATTTTCTTTGATAATATAATATGCCCAATTGAAATACATTAATTTAATTGTAAACCATAATAAAATATTATTCAGATATATAAAGATCCAATATGTCACACTGTTTCAGCTTCAGTTTGAAGGAAACATTTAAGTTCTATTTCATTTTAGATTTCAACCCTTGCAATAATAGCTTGTGATTCCTTATCAAAATCAACTGTAAATAGAATTGTTAGATCTAATATGCATAAAATTAGATTTGCTATTCCAAAACCTTGCCAAATACCTACTACTCCTTAATTAAATCCCCATGAATATGTCAAAATGGATACTATCGGGAGGCAAATAACATACATGCTTATGATAGTTGAATACTTGATAATTAATGATTTATAATACAAAGACAAGATTAATTTTGTTAATTCCTTTTAAGGCTCCACTTAAGGTCCCTTTGAGACCATCGACAAATAAAACACAACCTATCATCCATGGAAGAGTATCTAAGAATATCTGCTCAGCCTTGTGCGCCAACTTATTTTATTCTTAATTTGATGTATAGAAAGTTGCCAATTATTCTTATAGATTCCAAACCAAAAGAGAAGAAATTAGGCATGTAATAGTAAAAATGGAAACTCCCATAGTGATATAAATTTTTGCCAATCTGATATTTGCTTTACCCATTTCATTACCTACAAATGACATCATAGCAATAGATAAACTAATAGGAATTTCTAAATTAGTATAAAGATATTACTAAAATAAATTCCACAAATGTTTTGAACGCCCATATGAGCATTCATTTCAGAAACTCCTAAACTTAATGCAATGAAAGAAAGAGAAAAAAAGACAAAAAATTCAGAAAATAGATGTAAAACAATTGGAATAGAAGTCTTGATATACTAAAACCCTAAACTCGTGAATCTATCTATATCCAATAAGATTTTAGTCCCATCAAAAATTTCATTTTTTAAATCTGAATTTTCAACAATTACTAAAATAAGATTAAATGTATTACAAACCAATCCAACAATGTTAAAGACTTCTGTGAGAATAATTACTATACCTGCTCCAGGTACTCCCCATTTAAAGCAAGATATGAAAAGCCAACAAAAAAACCAATGAGTTAATAATGTGCTAAAGTGGATTATAGTAAATGGGTAGGTTACTTTATGAGCCACCATAAAGCATTTTACACTTTCAAATTCATATGCAAGAATAAAGGCAGGTATCAAATAATATAAGAATTATTGAGAATAATCAGATGTTTATTCTCTTTAGTCTTCTGCCATAATTAAGCTCAAAGGATATTTTGCAATTAACAGCAAGATTCCCAGAGGTATAAGTGTAATGAGTATAACGTAGAAGTTAACATTCAAATAACTCTTAGCTAGTGACTCTTTTTTAGCACCTAACGCCTATGAGGTGTGCATGTTTAATGATTAATTAAGCCCAAATCCAATTGGAGCCAAAATCATAGACACACAAGTCAAGGCAAAACCATAACCAGCATTCGACGTTGGATTTATTCTACTTATAATTACTCAATTACTCTTAAGTAATATAATGCAAACTAATCGATACACACACATCTAAACAAATATATCCAAACACTGTTTAAAAGGTACAGGTTATTAAATTTAAAAACAATTGAATTATAGACTCTTCCTTATCGTTGTGATCCCCTATCTTGGATTATTTTTCAGCCATTCAAAAATTAAATTGCAAATTACATATCCATAAATTACTCTTATTAAATGCACCAAACCACTTAATTTTATAACAAAATATTATCACAAATGTATCTTGAATATGAATTTTTTTATATTTATGAATAATATTGTAGTATCAGACCATTTTTAGACAACTTCTTCATTTCTAGCCTGTGCTATTTTGTCTTTATATCAACCAAAAAAAAAATGATAAATAGGAAAAGTGGAAATAAGAGATTTCAAATAGACAGAATATTTATGCCATTTATAAGTCAAGACTAAAAAAATTAGTGTTATTAATAACAATTAACACATAATGTCTACGAAAACCAATCAATCATTTTTTTTTATTGTTATGAAATGGAATGTCATACTTATTTATGACCCAATTATTGAATTGTTATGAACATCGTATTTTAGTATTTAAGTGTGATTTATGATATATCTAAATCAGTTTTTATATTTGTAAAAATAATTTATGCATATAATACTAGACTCATAAAAATATAGAGCAGAGATAAAAAATATCATTTTATTAATGAGCTATTGATTAATCTCTTCTTATTACATAAAGTAATCATTAGCAAATCGTACTTTCCATATCAGAGCAGGTAGAATAAATTAAATTGTATTTTAATAAATACTATTGTTTGTTCTATATTATCCAATTTCTATAAAAATAATTTCTCATTTTTATTATTCTTGATGTTTTCATTATCTCAATAAAATATGAGAATATAGGATTTTCAAACTTTTACAGTAATATAAAGAAAATATATAGTATTCTTTATTAACATTAAGAAAAATATAGTTATTGCTATTATTCGATAAATAAAGTAAGATGAAATAAAAAATTTAAGAGAAATCAAAGAAAAGCAATATATAATATAGAAAATTGGGCTTTTATTGAAAATAGCTATCATTTATTTTGCTATAAAATTAGTTGTGATATTATTGAATTTTACATATTCATTTATAGGTTAAGCAGATATACTTGTTTTTTATTTACTCTTTTTAGCCAGATTAATTAGATGCATAGATTTAAGTCAATATATTAATTTACCAAACAGCATTAAATCAAATAGTTCTTAATTTAAATCTTAAGAAAGTATTCTTTAGAATTTTGTAAGTAAACATCTATGTTTATAATGTCTTTTCTCATATCAAGTGACTATCACCATATAAATCATATATATTAAGAATAATAAATAACATAATTAATATTAATAAAATCATAAGAAAAAGTAAATTCACTAATTGTGTTAATTTATAAATAAAATTTCATTCTTCATGAATTTTTGACT